TTATGATGCCCATTACGCCCATAAATGGTCATATAAAGTAATAGTGTAAATTAGTAATAATAATTAATTATGTTAAAACTAAAAATTATAATTAAATTTAAGTAAATTACAATTTACATTTGGCAATAATCTATGAAGATGTTACAAAATTCCATATATCATCATCATCATCATCATCATCATCATCACCATCATCGTCATCATCAGCCTCTATCTGCCAACTGTAGAATCTCATAGTTTATTGGAATATCATTGTAATCTTACTAATATTATAAATGCGAAAGTTTAGATGGATGGATGTTTGTTAGCGTTTGTAGCCTAAACGGCTGAACGGATCTCCATGAAATTTGGCACAGGTTTAGAGCATAGTCTGGAAGAACTCATAGGGTACTTTTTATCCCGGGAATAGTTACGGTTCCTGTGGGATTCATTGATTTAGTTTTTTAATGTTTACTCGATAATTCTGCAACGGTTCAACATATCCTTTTAAAATTTGCCACAGATATAAAACAAAGTCTGGAGCACAAATGGCATGAGGTAGCTTTTTGTTTGTTTGTTTGTATAGTTCGTATGTTTTCTAATACCAAGCGGACGAAGTCGCGGGCAACAGCTCATGGGACATAAATGTCAATAGAAGGTATAAGAGATTCAAACATTGATTTAAAGTTATTCGTGAAGACTTGAAGACTGTGTAAAAAGCAGAGACATTGATATGGTCGTTTTCATAAATACCACCTCACCCGAAGGTAAACCGCCGCAACACGTAATAATATGTAATTTAATTTTTACGGGCTCACAAGCACTGCGAGGACAAAGGCATCGACAAAAGCTCGTCAACGGACGTCCCTCTCATAACTATATTTGCGAGGAAGTCGTAACAAGTTCAAGCAAAAACAGATCGGCCGTTCCCAGAGAGACGCAGCTGCGGCTAGTGTAACCAGCCTTTAAGGATAATGGAGACTTGAAAATCGAAACTGCTACCTGATTGTATCTAACACCTAAAATAATGCACAGTATAAACGAAGAAAACATTAAAACAATAGAATAATCGTCCAGAAAATAAATAATTATAGCTTTTTTGTCATATCAAAGTGTCTCATTCAAATCGTAATTGATTATTAAGAGCGACTCTTAGTGTATATTTCTTCTTATTTACTTAGATGGCGATCAGATACCGACTTATCAGTTAACATTTTACCATTTTTTCTAATAGAGTTTCGTTAAATGTTCCCATATAACAAAAGCGTTTGTATTGAAATGCGTACTGTCCTAATAAAAGTCTTAGCTGGTCACCCGAGCTGCATTTCTTGCCGATCAGTATTCGGAGCTCGCCTCCGCCTCTTATCTCGCGATTGTCCTCTGACAAATAGTCACGAACATACCTCCATACCTCCGTACCTCTAATGAACGCGCCGAATATTTTTCATCTGTTTAACTTCACGGATTAGTGATGCCTTTTAGACCACAAAAGAAAAACGGAATAAACATAACATATAAATCCTCAGTTGATAGACAGTCCTATCCAATTAATGATAGCGGTAATAGAAAAAATATCTGAAATCACCTCACTATACGTCATTTCCTATATGATTAAATCATTTAAACTTTCGTGAGACATTTTATAATTAATCAATTTACGGCTTACTCACGTCATATTTTTTCCGGTGACGGCACCGACCAGTTTCAGACCCTGCGAGGGTCCTTCTTCAGGGCGAGGGTTAATTATGTATCGCGGTCGCATCCTGCCTCGCACTTCCTATATGACTTAAAAGTTACGGCACCTTAAAACTACCCTCCTGTAAACTTTGATTTTTTTCACTTACGACAGTTTTCGTGGGAGCCATCGAAGTATAAGATTGTTCCAGTAAACTATGTAGCAGCTAAGCTTACAAAATCCAATCTAACGCAGTGTTAATTCTACCAACTGCGAACATGGAATTCGTTTCATCATCAAATCTTTGGGTTCGGTTCCCACTCGCATTCGGTGTTGTGTGGCTCAGTCTTTAACGCTATAAATTAACCGCTATGCTAATTTATAAAAGCTATTTTTATTAGGTGTCGTCGGCTGCGTAACTTTCGATGTTTGATTTTATCTCCCTCTTATCTTTGTAGCGGTAGCTAATTTTAACATTGAATTATTTATCAGCCACCTGTTAATGTTTATCTAAAGGTTAACGTTAATGGACTGTTGCGGTAAGCAAAGATACGGTTTTATTATAAAAATTTAATATATATCCAATGCTTGGTCTTAATATGCATAAAAATACCCGTGTTTGTGCATCCTAAAAAAAAAAAAACTAAAACACACCGCGTGAAATTTTATTCTCTCAAATTGTAAAGGTATGAATTCGAAAACCTATATGAATTTAGTTACATAAATTATATTTTTAACAACATTTAAAAATATTTATTCCGAAAGCATCGCAGGAACATCACTAGCCAGCTTCTCTTTTATAAGATTACAACAACGACACGTGTAGAAGCGGTAATCTTACAAGATTAATCTTAAACGAGTCCCCATGATACAGTGGAAAAAGCCCCTAAACCGCGCCCTCTAGTGGCAGAGGTCACAGATTAAAATTAACAGGTGGCCCTTTAATTTGTTGCTGTCAATCGCACAATCAATATATGAATAAAAAATAATCCGTGGACATGCAATCTCTAATGAAAAGTTGAAAAATTATGTCTCTTTTGAAGTCAAGTGAACCTTTGACGTTGCTATCTTCAATCAATATGTCCGATTTAAATTAGTGTTAACACACAATAAGTCCAGTAGACTGGCTTTAGATTTAAAAAAGAAACTCACACGACCGCGTAACCCTGTGAGTGATCAGAGATTACAAAATTTTACATTCATCAATTTTTAAAAGAATTTATTCGTATTAATAAGAAAATAATAATTTAAAAACTTGTAAATTCAAGATTGAAATAAAACATTAGTTTTCCTATAATTTATTTACATTCAGTACAAAAAGAACACAAGAATATATCTCGGAATTAATTCCTAAACCTTCAAGACTAATTATTCTGAGGACAAAATAAATACAAAACTCCTGACAAATAAGTTTCAAAGGAAATCATAGATCTATCCATGTAACATGTATTTTATATTGAGAAATAATCGATAAGTCGACCAGTTAGTCGCGTCAACGTCGATGTAAATCCGTCACAAACGATCGATAACATTCAAACGGCATACATATGTTACATCTGTCTGTACATTTCATTTTGTTACATTTAGTGAGAGTCAAAATGGCGGGTGTACCATCGCGAATTAAATTATACCACTTACTAAAAAAATTTACGCCATACGACAATATGGCGGGCGTAACTTAATTTCGTTATAATTACGTTCTAGAGAAATACAATTTTTTTTGAGCGAGGTACTAAATAGTACACTTTAGGTATATTTTTTTAGTAAGTGGTATAATTTAATTCGCGATGGTACACCCGCCATTTTGACTCTTACTACATTTATCAAACATGTGAACTAAGATTTTAGAATAGTAAAGATTATTTGCAGCGATATCTTTAGAGCAGACGCACAATCGCACAACTGCTGTGCGATTGTCGATTGTTTCGCAGTTTCAACTTTTTACTTGTGCAACCAAAAATCGAATAATGTGCGCACCACTATATATGCAAGCTTATAGGAAACAAAGCGAAACTAAACAGTTGGCCGATAGTTTACTTTCAGGTGTGCGCACGCTCTAAGCGTTTTAGAAAGATTATTCCCGACATCATACTCGTAGATACCTAATATTTTTTTTTAGACGGTTTTTTCTAGAAAAGTTAAAGAATACATTTGAATTTTAACAGTGGTAGTGCCCGCTTTAACATCTTAGCACGAATGGGCCGGCACGCCCGGTGTAATACCACGACCAGACAGAAGACAGGCGTGAAATGGAACCAATGCCGTGTTTCGTCTGATGAGTGTGGCGACGGAGGCCTAATTTAAGTCCCTTTCTCTTTACCACCATTTTCTTATGGGAGGATTGGAAGGGGAAGTGGATTTGACGATGGAGGAGATGCATAGGAAGAGGAAATATCCTCTTTATGTGCGTCTCCTCCTCCGTCGGATAAGGGTAGGCGACGCATCTGCAATTGCAGATGTCTATGGGCAGCGGTCGCTTCGCCATTTTGGCGGATTCAGGTGGCCGCTTGCTCGTTTGCGATCTTATGTTATAAAAAAAAAGAATATGGGTATCTGTTGAATCGTTTTAGACCAAACATTTACTTAGATGGCAATGTACCATATCTGACGTGTTTGGATTAAGGTGGGAACGAAATTACGTGCTAAAATAAACAGCACATAATTTAGGTTCACCTTAAACGTCCTCTTTTTTAGTAATCTAAATCTATTACATAGTTTTTCGATCAGCGACTGACATGAGTAGTTTCTCGAAGGTTCTTTACACTGAAAAGTAAACATATCGACGTGGAGTTACAGGCAGATAAGCGGGTGGAGGTTATCGGGCGCGGCCGCAATCACACCGACAGCACGACGGCACATCACGGATTCTTGTAAGAGCATCTTCACACGAAACACATTACTCCATATAAAATTAGGAAGTTAACTCAAACGCTATACTTAAAAATATAACTAATTTTGCTATAGTGTTTATTTATAATCTGTAACACTAACATCATTTCATAAATAAAGATTTCATTTCGCAACTATCAACTTCAATCGAAACATCTATACTAGTATTATAAAGAGGAAAGATATATTAAGATATTTAAATATTTGCATGTATTGAACTGTACAGCTCAAAAACCACTGGGCCGATTCCAGGCATTATTTCATTATTAAAAAGCTACGTTATCGCTGAGTAACTTAGGCTATATTATTTACGTGGACGAAGTCGCGAGCAACATCACGTAGATAAGTTTACTAAAAAGTTGGCACTAAAATAAAAAAAATACATAGCAATGTTGCCATTTTCAAATTATAAAGATATAGCTATGTTGGCATATAATTTATTAGTATAATATTATAGCGGCTTTAGTGTGAAGTGCTCGGTCAGCTGGTACTCGCTTGTAAGAGCCATATTTACGAGCTGCCGACTGCAGACGATGTGCGATGGGATTAAGTAAGGTACGCTTCCACTGATACTATTAAAAGGACGTCACGTTAAACTATATTAGAAAAGAAGCAGGTGTAATCTTTTATTTATAGTTCTTCTTTTGTTTCTTGTGCACGCACGATAAAGCATGACTTATTGCCACGTTGCGTCTCATTCAAGCGTGCAAGCGAGAGGGCACTACAACAGCCCATGAATAGAGTAAATCACACATAAAATAATAATTGTTATTATACAACTATACTACACACTACACTCCCCTACGACACTAGTACACTCTACATAATTTTGAAACACAGCACCTGCGGACAAACCAATCATATGGTTTACGCGGGGCCATATTTGTGAATATGTTTAATTGGTGTGTTTGTAAAATTTTCTATAAAAATAGTGATAGAGAGAATACACAAGCTCTTCGTTCGCTTGTAACGTTACAACGTAAAATAATCGCCCGTAAACCGATTTTAGAATCGATAATATTACAAGCTATTATATTTTTTTTTTAATTATTATGCGTATTCATTAAAACGTTATTGCCTAATCTTGTTATCATTTTTTTCATTCTCTTCAAATTAGATAGCAAGATGATTTCATCCACGTCTATAATTGAGACGTAGTGAAAACGTACCTTAAATTCGTCGGTGTGCATCATGTAATGTGCTCGGTGGTGCACAAGCGAGTCATGCGCGAGCCACGGACCGCAGAATTATTGCAATTTCACAACTTTTATCGATTTATATTGAAACGGTATCTTTATTTACTGTCTCACTATCCTTATAGGTAACTATTTTATTTTCAGTAACGACACAACAACTAAAAGGGAAAGAGACATGAAGAAATTTTGTTCCAGATGGATCGATGACGTTCGCAGACGTGATAAAAGTGGGGAATACGGAAAAGGAAGGATGGTATATGGTACTAGACAATTTGCAGTCATGGTTACCTATGAAAAGAAAATATTTATAATTCAGTATGTTTGTTGAAACAATGCTTTTTACTTTTTAATATATAATTTTAATATCAGCAATAAAAGCTTATTTTATTTATCTTCATTATTATCAATCTTGCATAATGTGGTATTTAAAATATTAAAATCAATGTAAAATTTACCACACAAACAAATTTGAATTTCATTTTGAATATTTAGCCCTTCACCAACAAGAACGAAGCGATTCAACCATGCGATCAGGATATCGAAACGAAGCGATACCGCACATCCGCGATGTAGAGATATCGACTCGCAATACACTACCGCACAGATAGCGCCGTGTACCCGTCACCTAAGATTACCTGATACATCGGATTTACATCAACATAGAATACACAATACGATTCCTAAAGCAGATATCATTGGCATTTATTAAATAAATACACTGTTAGGTATTTTATTAATAACGCTAATCACATTAATCTATGACAAATTATTCTTTGATAAAATTGACGAACGATTACTGGCAATAACATTATAAAAGAGTTTAATTTAGAATAAAAAAAAGTATTCATTAATAAAATAGACAATCTAATGTTTTTTTGGACAATCTTACATCTAACTTAATAATAATTAATTCTAAACGCGACATACATCAGTCGGTTTTAATAAAACACTATTGACCAAGAACTTAACCTCCAAACATCTTTGCACATAAAACATTTCAATTCAAACTTCGAATGGCACTTGACAATACTTGAAGCAGTAAACAGTGTCAAAACAGAAAATGCGTGGGAGCTAACAATTTGCGACTCAACACTCAATGAGTTCTTAGAATCCCTCCCACACTTTTGAAGACTTAGATGTTATAATCTCTTAAAATAAATTAACGGAATTACTGCAAGATTATTAAGGTCAGTAAGTTTTTTTATATCATAAACAACAACGTCCTCCTATCTCGTATCAAAATTATTTACGTTTACCATAAACGAAGTTATAAAAGAAATTTTAAAAGTTGAGTTAATACCTACTTAACTTTAGTAATTGTACCACAAACTTTATGTAACATAAACCAATAAAGACAGAGTTTAAAAAACTAAACATAGAAATATACACCTCTATCTAAACTCAACAATGATAACATATTTTTATTTAAAGCAATTTATTCTTCAAACACAATCCCAAGTGGAATATAGAAATAAATCTAACAATCGAACATTAATAATTAAATATCCAAAGATTTATGTATTAATAAAAATCAATAAATTTATCAATTAAAATATATGAAGAGTTCACACCGAACTTCACACTGTTATCGTCCGTCGTAAAGGCGTAGCTACAAAATTGATGCGAATAGATATCTTTTATTACCTTGGGCTTCCACTGTTGTTCATACAATAACCACTAAAACAAAACACCTAACTGACTATACTCCTATAGAAACTCGACGGAAGTATATGTTTTTTTTATAGGAAAAGCGGGCAAACGAGCAAAGGATCGCTTGATCCGACGCCCGTGAACATCCGCAACGCCAAGGGTATTGCCAAGGAAGGGAGGAGTAGCTCTTTTTCTTTAAAAATATGTACGAATCAAATACACCTCACTCATAAACCTTTATGTTATGTTTACGCTTCAGGCGATCTCAATATCGATTTACAAACCATTCTAACTTAGTAAGACAGTGTAAGCCAACGGTTATGTTGCGACACCTACTGTGTTAGACACGTGGGTCGACTAAAACAAACAGAAACATCGTTTATTTATAAACATTCGGCTGTTGATTGGAACGCGTCGACTCTTCTGATAAAGCTCGCCAGTCACTATCATTTACTTGATGTATGAACTCTGTAGCAATAAAGCTAACGATTTCAAAACAGTTTTCAATTTTTCTCCGGGAAGTGTTATTGGAATTATAAGTTTAAATTATACATTAGTGTGTAAGTTATTACTTCTGTCGTCGCAAGCTGAAACTATCTCGTGTTTCATTGAACAAGATTTAAAGAACCTCATTCACTAGACGATCTTTAAGACTTTTTCACACTAGACATAAGATATTAGAATTCCTGACGAATCCCAACATCATTTCTGTTTTGTAAACAAGCGACCACATAATTTTAATTTTTTTTTTCGAAATCCGTGTACAGCTACCTTTATCTGCATCTTATAAAACAGTATATAAAAGTCGATAAGTGCCGTAGACAAATACCGTGATATACGACGGCGTTATCGTTCACACCAGCCCATACATCACCTCCGACACAGACAGACAAACAAGCGGACACCTAACTAATTGTTATAGAGAAATTATTAGAATTTGGAAACCGACGGTTATTTATACACCAGCAGCTGTACCACAGATTATAAATTATATCGTTAAGAACACTTCTTCACTTAATATTTTATCGAAATATACTATATTCTAACTGCCGAAACATCTGTAGAACATGTCTCTTTCATCCCCTTTGGGGAAAAAAGAGATGACAATATTTAACTACATTCGATAGTGGATGGTTTTAAATCTTTATTGATTGATTAATGCATCTAGTTTATGTAATCCTTTAATGGATGATTTATTTTATTACTTTTTATGTTATTAATAATATTTATTAAGAACGAAAAAAAATCAAGCGCCAGCATTAACATATTCTTACATTTTAAAATTGAAATTCGAATTTCGAATGTTAAAAAAATCGAATCAAAGGATTCAGAAATGCGATTTACAAATTCTATTTTTAGTTTTAAATTTTAAATAAAGAATGTATTCTTTTTCTATTCCATTTTTGCTTTTTTTTCGCACACTATTTAATGTTTATTCAAATGTGAATTCGATATAGTCCAGTAGCCTGCGGTTGTAGAACAAACTTGTAATCAAACGATATAATGAATGGGGCCGCTCTGTAAAACAATCGGCTATCTGATACTAAAGGCCACTTCATTAACCTGCCAGTCCATCGCTAGGCTCACCATATAAAAATTACTGAAGTATTTAGATCATTATGAGTACATTTTCTTTCTGTTTACAAGTATGAATTCCACTTTTCACTTTTTAATCTTCTCTTAAGATGCTTTCCATTTTAATGCTTAAAAAATCAATGTAATGTTTTGATGAATATTATACGATCATGCTCGCCTCCAGAAATAGAAAATTACTTACCGTAATCAACAAATTAACCGTACAAAGGAAAATGTATTAAGAAAAATATATAATCTAAAAGTTGTTATTTAAAAGTACCAGGACAACATAAGGAAATAGTCCACAACCTCATCAGCATATGGTGTCCCAACGTAAAGCCGCCTCCAGCTTAATTACCCGACAGTATCGGTTAATTGATCGCCGACAAGTGCTGGGAGCTTATTAATATAACTGTTCACTGCCACACATCGCCTGTTTACCTTTGCTAATGCCGGTTTTACACGAGGGCAGAACAATGACATATCGAGAAGATTAGTACTGTCTTTACGGATGCGTTCCAAAAGTATGCGTTACGTTAAGTTACGTTAAGTATGCGTATAAGGATGCGTTCAAAAAGTAGTTATACTGCATTCTCTTAGCTACAGCTCTGCTTTTAGTGATCTATTTTTTTAAATGTCAAGATGGCAAATGATGGCCACTTGAATACATCGAAATCGCAGATGCATTGCCTGCCCTTATTCGACGGAGGAGATGTACATCACGAGGAAAATTCCCCTTTCTGTTCGTCTCCTCTACCGTCAAATACAAAGTGTAGCTATTACCTTACCCAGGCTACCCATAATTCGTCTCTTAAATCAGAGTGATACTATAATAAACTATAAAACTACAATAATAGTCTCAAACTTAACTTCTCTGGTAGGCCTTTACTGTCTGCATCGTGGTATACCAACCGACCCCGAGGTCGCAACGGCACCTTAAATTATAAGAAATATTCAATTGTGACACGTTAACGGCTCTCGGTCGATATCTGACGATAAAGGGCACAATAAATCAGTCTCACCCGTCCACTTAGCGGCCCAAACGCCGCGTTTATTAACCGCCAACCGTTATAGAGAAAGTTATAAGATTTTTGATCGTTATTTATTATCTGTGGTTACCTGCAAGTGTAATTTGCGGCAATCTATTCTAAATGGATCCGATACATAACGCAAACAACATGAAATATAGAGGTGAAGATGATCTACGCTTATATTACTACTTACCACAGATAAAATAATACTATACTAGTATTATTAATGCGAAAGTTTAAATGGATCTTTGTTAGAGTTTTTAGCCTAAACGGCTGAATGGATCACGATGAAATTTGGCATAAATGTAGAGCAGTCTGGAAGATCACATAAGATACTTACTTTTGTTTTTCATTTCCACCCGGACGGACTCGCGGGCAAAAGCTAGTTAGCATTATGAACGCGAAAGTTTAGATAGAGGTATGTTTGTTATAATTTATAGCCTAAACGGCTAAATCAATGAAATTTGGCATAGATGTAGAGCATAGTCCGTAAACAGGCTACTCGCTTTTGTTTTTTTCCGTTGACATAAGAGGTAGACCTAAAAAGAGATGGATGGATTGTGTAAAAGGTGACATGATCAAAAAGGGAGTGATGACTGAGATGACGCATAGAGTTATGTAGAGGACAAAATCCTGTTGCGCCGACCCTACGGGTGTAGGATAAGGTGATGATGATGATGATGATGATGATGATAAGATACTCGCTTTTTTTCCGTTCACTAAATATCACCACCTGTGAACTCTTGTCTATAGGATCACAAACAATTGCTTTCACTAGAGCTTATACTACCCACATAATTGTGCAATAGTACTTGATTCTCTCCGTTTGTCTGTCCGTCAAACGATAAGAGCTGTGTTCAGAACTGATTACATCAGTTGCACAATATGATTTTTGTTTCCAAACATTGATGTTAAAGATTTAGAAGATATCAATTTTTACAACACTACACTAACGATTGTATTTACAGACTTTTATAATTAAATATTTCGTAACATCAGATGTCTCATCACCCAGAGACTCGCATAAAGTACATATTTTTGTGTAAAATGTGTTTTGCGACTGAATTACGTCTACATCCCAATAATTTACTAGTGAGTTAGTACCGT